TGATCAACTCGTGAGAATCGCTAAAGTCTTGGGCACCGAAGACTTATACGAATATCTCAATAAATATCAAATAGAACTCGACCCGAGATTTGATGACATCCTCGGCAGGTTTGCTCTTAAGTGCCATGAAATCAATGGTTTGTCACATGAAATGGTTATCACATTAAATGGTTATCTTTTGTTTGCAGGCATTCAAGGAAACGATGGGAACGGTTCGTTCACAGCGAGAACTCCCATTTGGTTAGTCCCGAGGCACTCGACTTTTTAGACAAATTATTACGCTATGATCACACGGATAGGCTGACGGCCAGGGAGGCCATGGATCACGCGTACTTCTGTATGAATTGAGTCTTGAGTATTGCTCTGAATGCTTGTCTTATGCCATGTATTGTGTGCTCATATGACAGATCCCGTTGTAAAGGACTCGACGGCCCGTTCGTTCATAGATCCACAGCGCCTGACCGGCCACAGCGGGACTCCACCTCCAGTCGCATCTGTAGGAGAATTAAATCCCCAAACAGTTACCTAATATTATATGTATTTTTTATTCAATTCTTAATAATAATTGAAATCATCTTAAAGTAAACGAATAATCCATTGAGAAAAACAAACGATTCATTATTATTACCTATAATTTACAGCTTATGTATTAAATCAATCGGTAAAACGGCTTAAACTTTATTTATTTGTTTTTATCAAAACTTCAATTCGTGCGGTTCTACCAGTTCTGCGATTTTAATCATTTTCTGAGTTTATATTCAAAACAAATTTGTCGTAAATTATAGTATATGTATAAAATGATCGCAATTTTTATTTTTATTTATAAATTCTTTTTTGTTTTCAATTCTTGATTCATAACAAAAATTGCAAAATCAAAGTAAACAACAAATAAATTCTCAATCGATTAATGCAATCAAAATGAATAAATGTTAATAAGAATATGATATCATTTGAAATTAATTTTTTCAATTATTAGGAAATTAAAAGTTTAGGCATTTTGTCATTTCATTCGTTTTATAAATATTTTCATTTTATTTACAATTCATGTATTCATTTGAAGTAATCATAGATAAAGACATCTTTTCTCAATATTTGCTAATTATTTAATAATACGGTAATCATATTAATGATGAAAATGTTTAAATGCTTTCAAATATTCAACAATAGGAACAGAGAAACAACAATTGACTTAATTGTCATGGAGTTTACTATTAGAATACAATGTATTTAATTATATCTGGTACCTGTACAGTATATTCATATTGTTTTTGTCTACGAATACCCACTGGGACTTTTACAGGGACATATCAAAATATTTAAGTATTCCATAAGAGTATGCTGGTATATATATTTGAACAGTAGTGTAATGTTATTTAATCTAGGAATAGTGAAAATCACTTACCGTTATATAATCTAATGTTTTAATAATTTAAATAATCGTCAGGTTTTGTTGAGATATAGTATATTCAAGAGCCTTAAAGTAGGTCTCTTTAACAGTTGGCTATTATTTCATGAAAATAAACTTCAATCTAATCTCGAAGTTCGCGACTCGAACTAAGATTAGACTTATTTTGGTTATAAATGACAAAACAATTTATACAAAATATTTAACACAAATCAAGAATATTTAAAAATGTCTAAACATTTGATAAATATTATACATTTCTTATTGATATTAATTACTGTGGATTATTGTAAAACTAAATGTATTGACAAATATAGTGACAAAGATTATTATGACTTAAATAAAGAACAAATTGAATTCACTGCTAACACTGGTGATGTAGGAAATACTCTGGATCATTTTTGGGTAAGAATTCTTGTAGTTACAGTTATGGCTAAATATCATATTTGTGGTGTATCTTGGAATGGATTCCGTATATTCAACGCAATGAGTTGACTGATAATTAATAAAATATTGTACAGTATATAGTTTATGAAATAATTTCAGGAATAATTAAATGAATTTGTGTTGCTATAGATCTCACATGCAGTTTAAACTAATATTTATTTTAATGTATTTCTTAAATATATTCTGTAGGAAAGTACTGGATTTTGGTAAGCAATACAGTAATCATTCCATTATTAAACTCAATAAAGAATTTGATATTTACTTTGGAAACGATATGCTAACAAATGCTAACAAATAAAGTCCTCCCGACCCGCACGACAATTCCTCTCAATATATGTTAAGCGATGACATGAACCAGAATTTGGCTCTAATTGGTTCCGTACCACACAATGGCATCAAACAAATTAGAATAAACTTTGAGTCTTGGAATGAGCCGTCAATTGAATTCAAAAACCATTTCAAAGACAACATTAAAGTCACTCAAAAAGGGTTTCTTAACTATTATGACGCCTCTTCTCTAGCGCTTCAAGAAGTGGACAGTACTTTGATATTTGGAGGACCGGGAGATCACTGGCCTCAAGACACGAAGAATGGTCCGTTTGTTATTGATTTAGTCAAGCATTTCATTAATGGTTCCAATTATTTGAGTGGAAAGAAAGGAGATATTAAGTTAGACTTCATATCATTACACGAAAAGGGAAAGAAAGGCCAGTCGTCTTATACGGACGCATCGGAAGACAAGGCATTGACTGATATCGAGAAAGAATTTGAGATTTTAAAACAAATACCTTTTGTTGATAATGAAGGCGATCCTGAAGTTTGTTTTAAGTGATTTTAATTATAGAAACTTTTTTTTATAAAATGTGTTCATTTGAAAGGCCGGTTGGAATCAGAACAGGACGTGGAGGGCAGACAATCGATATGCCGCTACTGTTGTACAAGTGGTGGCCCGACATATATACCAATATAACCACACCAACAAAATGTCACTGTTTGGGTTCGATCATGGATTCTTGAGTTTTTACCCATTTCAGTTTACTCAACGGACTTTATTAGCCAGGTATTTCTCTTTGATTATAATAAAAATGTCAAATAAGTATCACGTTAATGAAGGTTTCAAATAAATAACACTTCACCACATTACACACAATTTGTGCGAAAGCCATCATTTGCTATAATGGGCTTATTATCCAAATTGGGAAACACTTTGATTCACTTTAAATCTAATTCAACAACAAATTCAACCACTCGTTTGATTGCAACCGCTTTTAAAGAAGACCACAATATCGAACACAAGTTTGTTATGAGATAATCATATAGTTTCATGAAATTTACAATTATTCTTTAGACCAACAGAATATTCTTTTCTATTTGTTAACTCTTTGGACACACTTTTATCAAATCAAACAAATTCAATTCAATTGAATTTAAATTTTAATGAAAATATAACATCTGATGACGAGTGGAAATGGTCTCAATATATTATGGATAACNCAATTACACCAATCCATTCAATATTTGGTCTCAAAATAATTGTCCCGATTATCCTTCAGAGCAACTATTCCAACAAATGAGGGAACAGGAGGTAGACTAGACTTTCATTGAAATTTATTTGAAAATCAAATTAATTATTTTAAAACTCTACATTATTAAACAAGTCTAGAAAGTGCTAAGAATACAGAATATTTGGTTACTTCAATACTGTAGTCATACAATCCTTCAAATTAAACTAATAATTTAATTTAATCCATTTGTATCAAAGGAACCGTTTATTAAAGTTAATTCAGAAAACCTGAGTTTAAACACAAGTGTTTGGAGTCATAATTTGGAAATTGCATTCCCGGGCATCAGTTTGATTCACATTTGTCGCAAAACAAATAGTTCTCCACAAAGAGTCAGTAAACAAGTTTAAAAACTTTAAGAATGGCTTTTTCATAGTTTAAGAATTTTATTTTACCTACTTTTACCTAGGTGCTTGAACTTCGAGGCATTCATATAACTAATAATTCAGTTTCACTCAATTGGATCACTTCTAATACTAGGTCTTAAGAATATTGTTTAAGTTTGAGTTAATATTCTTATAATTCTTCCAAATAAAGGTGTCTTAAGACCTATGAAATAGAATATTCCAGAAGCGGTTCCAATGATTCATATAAAAGAATCAACAAAAATGATATCATTTACCAATCGTATCAGTTCACGGGTCAGTTTATTAAATAATTTAAGTGCAATATTGTGTATAAATTGTAAAAATTTCTATTTTGTTAAAGATTTGACTGAAACATCGTCTGTATCTGGTTTTTATCGGATCCGTGCCATTGATTTCTGGGACAGAAAAAGTGATTTCTCTGACATATTCAAGTGGAATATGAACTGAACTCATGGAATATAATTGATTTAAATAAATAATTTGATTAATTTTAAATAAACCCGGTTAGATATTTATTTATTCCAAAAATATAATAATTGAAACTTAAAGACACATTGAAGATTGTGGTAAAAGTATGTGAATTGTTTAATTAAACTTTAACCAACAAGGAACTTGTATCTAATATTGCACATATTTAAAAGTTCTCTAACGGAATTAATAGCTATAATAATTAAGCTTGTTTCTTGTCAAAATTATCTTATTATACAATTTAGACAATAGTTTCTATAAATAATCTACCTTGCACAGTACCTGTAGAGTACAGTATAGTGCAGTTTTAGTGCGAACCTTTGTCTAACATCTGTACTGTACAGTAGATATCACACAACCACTCACTCACCCAAATGTCACGTCATATACGAGAGGAATGAGTGAATTGAAAGCAAAACTTGATTGCAGTGACAGATAAAGAGTGCATCAAATGTGTCAGTGATTCGTGACTCACGAACCGCACACTCACGCAGACACTGCACGCAATTAGTCCAGTGATTGTCGGTGGTGTTGGTCCAGTGCTTCATAATCATCGCAATGGTGGTGAGCAATGGTGATCAGCCCGTGGCGGACGTGGTCTTCCTAGTCGAGGCGACCGCTAATCTCAGCCCTTATGTCGAAAGTCTTAAAACCAATTACATTATCCCAACTCTCGAGTGAGTCATCACACAGATTGGATCCACTCTTTGGCCACTTATTCATTTGATTGCTGTGTGTAATGACAGGTACTTCAGTGGCGGACCTCCTGACGAACGCGACTATGGCTTCGATAACAATGTATTCACTCTTTTAATGATTCAAATGACATGACTTTGAT